TGTTTGTAAGAGGGTCAAATGATTTATTAAGCTCTTTGATTCCTGAGAGTGAATAGCATCTCATTTCTCCTTATAACATCACTCTCAAATTGCACATGAAAATGGGGGATCTCTACTGGCTACTAAGAGTCTGAGCCATAGCTACTTTGATACAGGATTTAGCAAGTATAGAAAAAATATGTCAAATAGGAAAATTGTGAATTAAAAAATAAACCCAACATCATCAGCCAAAATTCTTATTCACTTTTTTTTAAGGAGTGATTTTGCAATTCCTGAGGTTTTGACTGAAAATATGCTTTATTGAATAATGTCATGTTTCTTGGATATGAGATGTTAGTTTTGTACATATTCTCTTACTGTACATGTTTCTAGCAGCTTGAAAGTGTCTGCCAAGAAAAGGGTAGGCTCGCTGTGTTATAGAAAGAATATTGGATTTCTACTTCCTTTCCATGGCAATTTATTTCATTTTCCAAGTACTTCAAAAAGTAGTGATGGCCCTAATAATCAACTCAAACAGTCTATTAATTGCCATGGCATTCAGAAGTTTTCTGGCCTTTCACAAATATCAATAAGTGCATAAGATGCTTGTGGAAACAGAATGACATAAATATTATTGGAGAGTGCTAGATAATTATGCTTCTCATAGATCTAATCAACATTCTGTTCATAAAATTTCCTTTTTTTTTCCTTCAGGGAAGTCAAGGATTTCTTAGGGGAAAAGCCTTTTGAGGATTACCAGCATACTATGTACTTTGCACGGTATCTTCAGTGGAAGTGGCTTGAAAGGTAACTTGTTTAAACCTTGAACCCCTGAGAGTGACTGAAATGTAGTTTCCCCTTACAGTATCACTCTTGAATCAAACATTAAGACCATGGGAATAAGGAGAATGATCACCCATGGGCATCGGATAAGCTATTGATTGTTGAAACAATTATGACTAATTTAAGCCACTTGTGATTTTTCAGTTTTCATCCATCAACAAAGCTAAGTCATTCTGCTTGGTTTGTTTGTTATGTTAAGGTTATGAATAAGGAAAGTATTTGTTTGGTGCCAGTGCTAGTTGAGATCTGTGAGAGGAGTGTGTTTCAAGTTGAGTAACCCAGCTTCCAAAGTCATTCACTGACAGTGGCTAGTACTGTAAGCCATAAATAGAGCAGAGTCTCTTGTCAATAATGAGATTCTTAAAGTCATGGCTGACTTTTGAAACTTACTTTATAGCCAGTGATGATGTTGAAGCTGGAGTCACTAACCCTACCTGTAGCATGTGGCCAACAAACAACTTCTCACTTGACTCTATGATGACTTAAGCTAAAATTTTCAAAATATCAATCACTGATACTGACAGTAGTTCATCTGAAGACTATTCATGCTACCCAAGAATCAGGCTACACATTCAATTAACTGTTACTTCTGGGTTCAAACCTTTTAATATTAAGAAGTAAGTGTGTTCCTACATGTTCTTAAACTGGGCTATTTTGTTTATCAACAGACAACCTGTTACAAAGAAGACATTCCGCCATTACAGAGTGTTAGGGAAAGGCGGATTTGGAGAGGTAAATGGAATTTATTTTTCATAATTATTTAGAGTGGGAGCTATATGGCCACAAACTGATGGACTCCGGACATTTGAAGTGTAGCATTAAGAAAATTGCCTTTGAACAAAGACAATTTTTGTCTTCTAAATTCTCAGCATTTTCCTAGGAATTACTTTTAAGTTCTACCTCAGTCCTTTTAAATGGTGTTAGGGAAAATTTCCACTACCTCTGCAAAGAAAAAGGGGTGATATAATCCTATTACTACTAGCAATATCTTTACCAGGCATTGATATTTAGAAGTTAATGCTAGTTGTCTCCATTGTAGGTCTGTGCATGTCAAAGCAAAATCAGTGGGAAAATGTATGCAATGAAGAAACTAGAAAAGAAACGGATAAAAAGAAGGAAAGGAGAAGCAATGGCATTAAATGAGAAGCAGCTCTTAGAAAAAATTGACAGCAGATTTGTGGTGAGTACTAATACCTATAAAATTAAAAGTTGGTGATGTTGAATAAATCTAAAACCAATTGTAACTATCTTTTGCTTCCTTTTCTCTGTCAGTATAGAAGATTAATCAGTTGTTAATCATAAACCTTCTCTAACCATCTGAAAATGATTGAAATTATTTTAAATTTGTGAGTTGCTATAGATGTTTTTCCCCTCCCCCCACATGCTTATAATCCTCTTCCTACTTACACCGTATCTTATAAAGAAAAAAGTACATTCATAGAACAGATGGTATGTTAAGAATTATAAAACCATGATTTTTATTGTCTCATGAAATGCTGTGAGAAATGAAAACCTTGATGTGATATTAAGGAAACCAAGAGTTGTACAATAAGCACCTGCAGATAAGTCGCTCCTGAAGGATGGCAGGTCAAATTTTGAAAAAGAAATCACTATTAATAAGAGTGTTAAGAAAGTTATTGGTTGCTTCACAGAACATGTACAGGTCTGCATAAACTCACTGATTTACTGAGAATGCTGTAAGCAATTCTTACCCATAATTTTAGCTGTAGTATTATGGAAATCATATGTTCATGTACCAACAAAGACTTATGGTTGATCTTACTCTGATATGATTCAACCAGTGTTTCTTTCTTTCCTGTCAGATTTTTTAAAAAGTAAATTTTTTTTACTCGAAACAACAGGAAATCCTTGGTTTGACCATTAGGGCGTCCTTAGCTTAGTAACCAGGCATTTGATACATCATGAAGAATTTTTAATGAATAGTGTTAATTTTTGCTGATTTGTGGCACATTTTTCAGATGTAAAAAAGCCACAACCCTAATTTATTAATAAAATTGTGGGGAAAAGGTGCAGCTTATCTGCATGTGTTTACAGGAATTGGAATGATTGCAGCCACAATTTTAATTCTTTTCTTTTCAAACTTTGTTCTTTTTGAAGGTCAGTCTAGCATACGCTTATGAAACCAAAGATGCACTTTGTATGGTCCTAACACTAATGAATGGTGGAGATCTAAAGTTTCATGTCCATAACATGGGTAATCCTGGATTTGAAGAAGAAAGAGCTGTATTTTATGCTGCAGAAGTCATGCTAGGATTAATTCATTTACATTCAAAGAGAATAGTATACAGGTATGTAATTTTAAAAAATGTAGACTGTATTTTTTAAAATGCAGTATTCTATCTATAGGTGTTTGGGTGTTTTTCAAAGGGTATGGACATTTAGAACAGAAAGGCAGCACTGAGAAGTCCTAAAGACTCCTTTAGCCATCAACTATGGAAATATAATTTGGTACAGACCTGTAGTGTAGATAGTCTAGGGAATCTATTAAGCTTGTTTGATATTCCTGGAATGCAACCAACTTGAAGAGAATTACCAGTTGAAGTAATATGATCAGTTAAAAGTAATATGACTTTTTTTGTAAAGGCTTCAAGCCTTTATAACCCCTTACTCAGCTGTCAGTCTCAAATGCGCTCAAAGATCAGATATACAAGTTCAATGTAGAATGATTAAAAAGAAAATAGAATCGAACATTGTCTGCAGTTTTATCATTACAGCAGAATTATTGAATGATGTACCTCTTATTGGTCTTGGTTACAGAGATATGAAACCAGAAAATCTGCTTTTAGATGATTATGGTCATGTCAGAATCTCAGATCTTGGTTTAGCTGTTCAAATTAAAAATGGAGAGACAATACGAGGGAGAGTTGGAACAATAGGCTATATGGGTAAGTTTGCTCCTTTGTTGTTACTAAGCATAAGTCACTTTGTAATTAAACCTTCAACTCCCATGAGTGATCAAGACAGAATTTCTCCTTACAATATCAAGACAATATCAAGCAAACAAGTGATGAGAATAAAGAAAAATATCAATTAGGGGATTATAAATTGATCCAATCCTAAATTCTCCAATCTAATATCACAAGAACTGTATGACAGACAGTAAGGAGAGTTAATAATGAGATCTTGGGAGTTGAAGGGTTAATTAGCCTACTTACTATTTGGAGTGAGCCAATAAGTTTTTTTCTTGATAAAACATGAACCTACTGTCAAGTAGACAAGTGGTGCGAAAAAATAAAACTATCAACTAAGATTAATTTTTAGTGAACAGGAAATTCTCATACTCAACATAACATGAATGGTGCATAAAGAAGGGTGGGGAATTTGATCAAAAAATGTAATTGTTATTTGGAGGTCTTTTGGATTAAGAGTTGTGTAAGAGTGTAGTAACGGCACTCAGTCAGAACAAAGGTTGACATCAAAAGAAGCAAGAGATTTCTGAGATCAAACACTTTGAACTGATATCAAATGTAGGAAAGTGCAAATGAGTTGCAATCATTTCAAGTTTCACTTTTTATTGGAAGCTAACATGTAACAGCCAGATAGCAGTTGAATTTAACTCAAAGAAAGCTTCTTTCATTCTCTTGCAACTGATTTCAAAACAAACATGCCTGGATAATTTTTCTTTTCCTTTTTGTGCTGCAGCTCCAGAAGTTGTAAAAAATGAACGCTACACATTTTCCCCAGACTGGTGGGGTCTAGGGTGTCTTATCTATGAGATGATTCAAGGAAAGGTGAGTAAACCAAGACCTGCTTGATGGGCTCCACTTCTTATTCAGGAGAATTTTTCATGAGCCTGGCAGATCCAGTATCATGTAAAGTTACAGTGGTAAGTTTCATTTTATGTTGTTGTGTTGTTGTAGTCTCCGTTCAGAGCAAGAAAAGAGAAGGTGAAGAGGGATGAAGTGGAACGGAGAGTTAAAGAGGATGAAGAGGTGTACACAGAAAAGTTCAGTTCATCAGCAAGACTAATATGTAGTCAGGTAATATCTTGAATGTTAGAGGACTGTAATGAATTGCATTAGGGAACATAACTTCTGTCAGCACATGACACAACAGTCACAAAGCCCCTTCCTGCCTATAAGTATGTAATGTGAATCACAGGATTTTTGAAAATTATTATCAGAGGGTAACCTGGTAGGTTGCTGAGAGGACCAAATGGACTAAACAGTTTCTAACACTGCTCCATGCCACAAACATTTTGCTTACCATAGGGAGTACAAAAAAATATTTGTAGCAAAGGTTGGAAAGTTGGGGAACCTTTTTGTTTGGCAATTTTTTCAGGCATCTTTTCTGCAACTGATTAAATTGCAACTCACCTGCTAGTATCATTGCTTTAGCTGAGATGAAAACAAAGATGAACTTTTTCATTAAATATGATTTATTTTTGTCCTACTTAAAATGTTTTTCTTCCATCTTGGTTGGCCTTGAGACATGACTTCAATTCTCTCGCTAACCTGATTTTGAAAGCTGTGTAGTACATTATTTATTATAATATTACACATTCAAACTGTCCTCAACTTATGGTTAGCATGTGATATTTCAGCTTTTGTTGGATACCAATTGAATCATGTTAATATTACAGTATATCAAGGCTACTGCCGAGGGTGTTGGTTAAAGCTTTTACAGTAAATGACAGGGTAAATGGGGTTTTTTTTATTAGAAGCAAAATTGTTCATTTCACACTCTGAAGACATGATGTAAAAGAAACTGACTGGAACAGAGTTGGTTTTTCTTGGAAAATATTTGGACGGCATGGCTCAGCCTTATCAACTGGAGTTATTAGTTACACAGCTTAGAACTTCATTTTGCTGTTATGTCGCTTTCCTTTGATGCATTATTTGCTTTTTTTCTAGGCACTTCAGAAAGAAGTAATTAACAGATTAGGTTGTGGTGATTCAAGTGGAGAAGAAATAAAGAAACATATTTTCTTTAGAAATATTAACTGGCCCCAGCTGGAAGCTGGAATCTTCAAACCTCCTTTTGTACCTGATGTAAGTTTGGAAAGTCATTAAATATTATTCTTATCTAGCTTTGACCACCCATGGCATTACTAAGCAACTGATTTTCATCTGTGCATTACATTGAAAAAAATTGGTGTTATCCTTAATATGAAATTTCCATTGGTTTTCTTAGCATGAACAATTGCTTTGACTTTGACATTGTGGCTCCCCCAAATAATTTTCCTGGCTGTTCCCACCAAATCTGTAATTCTGTGGGTATAAGTATCAGCTAATGCCGATCCTGGCCATCCTTGTTTTAAATCACTAATCTGAGAGAAGGGAGACCTATTCATTCTCACAAGAACGAGTCAATGTAATTGAATTTGCAGGTTAACCCTTTAACTCCCAGATCAAATTTGTAATTCTCCTTACTCCCAATCATGCAATTCTTATAATGTTAGTGCAGAGGATTTAGTATTGGATCAACTAATTATCCCCAAATTGATATTTTTCTTTACTCTCATTGCTTATCTGGTTGATATTGTATTGATATTGTAAGGAGAAATTCTGTCTTGGTCACTCATGGGAATTAAAGGGTTAAATGTTTCCTGTTATCCCTCTACCAGAGACTTAAGAGGCCTATAGGGACATGCATGTGCAAAAAAAAACCAAAAAAAAAAGAGGAATGAATGAAGAGAAGAAATGATTAAAGTGAAATAAAATAAGGAAAAAGTTGATGACTGATGGGTCAAAATGGCTTCCTCTAACTTTTTCAGACCACTGCTTGATTTATTTACTACTAAGATTTTTTCACAACAACAAAAAAAATTTATTCCCTTGTGTAACCTCTTGATGGTTCAATGTATTTCTTATTTTCACACTGGTTACAAATGAACAAGATCTCTTTTTAGGTAATCTTTTCATAGCAAACAATATTTTTTAAAACAACTCTCTGTCATCAGTTAACCTTTTGCTTTTTGAACATTTCTAGCCTAGAGCAGTCTACTGCAAAGATGTCCTAGACATTGAACAGTTCTCTTCTGTGAAGGGCGTTCGTTTGGATGAAAGTGATGAGGAATTTTATAGGAAATTTTCAAGTGGATCAGTTTCAATTCCTTGGCAATCTGAGGTACTTCTGTCAAACTTTTGTTCATTTGTGTTGTGGTTTTGATGGTGAGCACATTTGCCTCCTTACTCTGTAGTTCAGCTTTTAACCCCATCATGATAGGTGCCCATGGCTTTTTCTTCTTGTTCTCTGTGAGATAGTTCATGCACACACTCAATGCTTGCCATTTATTGTCATATGATAAGCTGAACCCTGCACTCATTTAAATTAGTTGTTATGCAAGATCTATGGGGTGACAGACACATAGGTGAGATCACCATGAGCAACATTTTGCTTTTTTACTATAGAAAACAAATAGATTCCATGTTGTGGTTGGTCTGTACAGCAATGGATCACAGAAGATGTCAAAATGTGGTACAAGCATCAGAGATACACTTAGCTGTGCTCCTTTTTTGTTCTTGCCACCTTTTGACAGCGTCAGTGATCTATTGCTGAACAGATGCATGACAACGTGGATTCTTTTAATTGAATTTTAAATAGTTGTCCCTCACTTTAGGTGACTGTGATAATCGAAGAACAGTTGTCTGAATAGACCTGATGGGGTTAATTTTTGAAATAGGTCCATTCCTAATTATAAAAAACCTGTCTAAATTCCTTCTGCAGATGATCGAGATGGAGTGCTATAAAGAACTGAATTTATTTGAGGTTAATGGTGTGCCGTCACCCGATCTTGTAGGAGATGCACCACCAGAACCTCCCAAGAAAAGAGGAGTGGCTTGTTGTTCAGGCTCGGTTAGTGTGTATCTCAATCTTTTGCTAGTTTTACAAGATTTATAGCAAGTGCAATTATATACTGTAGTTCTCCAAAAAGAAAAAAATTGACAAGTATTTTTGCTGAATTATATGGATGTTCAGGTTGACATGGGTGTTGCATAATTGCCATTTGACATGGTTAGTGTATATGACACAGTTCTTAAAAGTCTGCTTTATGGTTTACTTGTCGATCTCCAAAATTGAATCAGCAGAAATTATTATTTCCTTACCTGTAGTTTTAGCAAGAAATTGCATGGTTAACCAACTGTATGTTCTCCCAGTTTTTGAATGTTATTGACAACTTGAGGGTTTTTTCAAGTTGGTGTTTTTTTTTTTAGCAAAGGGCATTTGAAATAAAAAATATAACTTATCACAATTCTTTTGTTTTGTTTGTTTGTTTGTCTGGTTGGTTTTTTTTTTTTCAATGGTAGGATTTGTTATCATAATTTGCCAGTATTAGGACAACTCCTTTATTTGTTTTTCTTTTCTTACTTGCAGGATGATGGCCTTTAACAGTAAATTTAAAAACAAACCTGTTTGTACAAAATAAAAAAGTTATAAAAATATTATTTTAAATTTACCTCTGTAACTAATAGCATGCAATCAATAAGTAGTCATTTTGATGTACAGAGAAGTTGCTTGACACAAAGGCTCACACGCAAGAAGTTTAACAAAGTAGGGTATTAGAGGGAACACAATCCAGTTGTCTGGGAAATTGGTAGTGATGCCATGGGAAAATGGATTCTTATCAACTTTTGAAAAATCTTTTTATCACTGTGAGAAAGGATTTTTTTGCCAGTGATCCTGCCCTTTTTATGTTCGAAGACTGTTACTTGTATCATTCATGACATGCTTCTGTTGTGCAGTGTGGCTCAAAACTTGTTCAATATAATGACCAGAAGCGAAATTCTCTCGGTTTCTCTAATGGATATCCTTAATGATATGTGGGAGATTTTGATTGTTAATCTGACGGTATTTGTAAACCAGCAAATCTGTTGTAAAATAGTAGATAAATCCCTTTTTGCCTTGTAAAAACTAGTACAGTTTTCAGGCAATAAAGTTTTGTACAGTTGATTGATTACTATAACTATAATTTAGATTCTTCACTCACTGATTGCTCCTTATATCAGTGTTTATTTTTGTTGTTACACACCTTTGATGTGTCTCTGATGTCACTGCTGTGTCTCAAAGCATACAGCTTCATCATTTCTTGACTTTGGTTGAGTTCTCATTAACACAATGCAACCCTGATTATTTTTAGCTCTTCTCTATAGCCTTGGTTGGTTTGTTAATGACTGTGCTGTAAAAATGAACTCTTAACTTTCGTGTTTCTAAAACCCTTAACCCTCTAATCCTTTAAGTGAATAGCATCCAATTCCTCCCAAACAAAATCACTGCAGAATCAAACATAATAGGTCAAGGGAATATAGGATATGCATGATTATCAACCAAAGAAGATCTTGACTTTTAAACAAATTCTCCTTATCACTATTATAGGTGGAGAATGTGCATACTGATGTTAGGGTGTGAAGGATTAAATGAATTAACTTTAGCATAAACCTAACTTTTTGGAAGTTTACCATCTTATTTTTCAAATATGGAGGAAGGCAAAGTGTTTCAAAGAATTTTGTAACTAAAAAAAATGACTAAAAGGAAGTCTTAAGCCATTAGTTAGTTTTTAATGTTCTCCTTTTCCAAGAAAAAAATATGGAAAGCTGTTTTACACTTAGCATAGAGAAAACAGAGCTCTGAAGTGAATTTAATGGAAATGTCACCTTTGCTAATTGTGCTTGGCAATGTGATCTGATAAAAATTTGTAATTAATAGATGTATTCTTCTGCATCATGTAAAATATCATGAAAAAGGCTCGGATTCTAAGAGCAACTAGACAAAGTCTTTTGCTTTTTTTAAATGACATTTGATGTGCTTAAAATATTTTTGGCACACTAAGGTTGCTGCTACCTATGTTCTGCAACTTAATTCTCTTTCACCTAAACATAGATTACTTTTTAAGTTCAATTTTCATGTGTTATTGTTGGGTAAAAGCTCAAAAAATTGTTAAACACTTACTATTGCACAGTGTGTGAGAAGTACCTGTGCATTAAGATCACGTTTTCCTTTTTCCTAGTACATTGATGAATTGGTGATATCAAAAAATATATAATTGAACATTTTTGTGACATCTTTTTTTTTCTCTTTTTTTTAAGTGATATATCAATAAACCTCAAATATGAATGATGCATTTGGTGAATTGGATGAGCATGATAACGTACAAATAGGGGTCTGTCTATGATGCACAAATGTTACATCAACTCTCGTGCTTTGGAGTAAGGAAAGTGCCAAGAAATTTGAACTTTGATTTAGAATAGGGCTCATCTTATTGCCAAGTTATTAAGCAAAAAGTTTGAGACCTTTATAACCCTCAGGCTTTTATTAGTGCAAACATAGAAACAAGTAGTAAATAAATCTTGTTAATAAATTACAGAGTGATTAGTTTTTAAGAAATGGTTAAAATGTTAATACTTTACAACAACTTATGGCTAGGTGGGTAGAGTGGCAATCAAACTACACTTTGGTCTTGAATGTCAGTAATTTTTACCCCTGTTTTTCTAAAGCAGTCTCCACTTAAGCATAACTTGAGAGTAATTTTGTGATGATTTGTTCAGATAACTTTGCAATTGCATGATCCTCTCCACCAATTGGAAGCAGAAGTACCAGTTACAACTTGGTTGTCAGGGTTTTTGTACCTGTCTTAACTTTGAGTTCTTCCTGACCCTATGTTATTGATATTGTTGTTGTGTAAGGCTGTTCTTGGGTGGTTGATCTTAGTTTGACAATAAATTTAATGCTATAGATAAGTTTATACAGCTTTTAATGGATGTGAATATTTGGCTGATTTTTGTAATTTGGTAAAATTAAAAACAGATTTGGCTGGCTTTTGTAACTATTGAAAGGGTTGTGGGTACCATAACTGAAAAACACCTTAGAGGGAAGGTCTTGAGTATATCGTGGAACAACACAATGATTTGGTATATATTTTTGATTGGATAGTGTTAAGATATGGTTTTGACGCAAGACACCCTGTTTGATTTCCTAGCTAGTCAGGGTAGAAAGGGTGTGGTTATGAAACTAAAAAAACTGTGAAAACAAGGAATTGTAGTGAAATGCTAGAATATTATTAAGAGGAGTGCTGAAATATTTGGGGAATTGACAATTTTGTGAGTCTCACAATAGGCAGGCAAAAACTGTATCATCAAGAATTTGCAATACAAAAGTACTCCTTGTACAGATTACCTAGATGTACTCATCCATTGGGGTTCAAATTTTGTTAGTAGTTCTACTAATTTGTAATAATGTACACAACTAACAGCTTTCTTATCACCTAGGCAAAATATGTTTCTTTGGACATGTCTATAATAGATCATATCTGCTGTTTTGATCAGTTTGAATTAATAATTTGAAACATGCGAATTGTGCGGCCAATTAACTGTGACCATTGCAAGCATCTTCAACCTTCTGCAAAAAAAACTGCAGTCTAAACAATTATCACATCAATCAAAAGATGTCAAATATGCTTATTATGTACATTCAGTTCTACAAAATGGAACAGTTGTATGTACAGTTTTATTTTCCTAAATTCTGATGTAATGTGAATACAGTAGTTCTGTGTAGAGTGTTTCCTCCCTCAACTAGGTAGTCATAGATAAAGAAAAACTGCTTATTGTGATAATGTAATATGTATGAAAATCAAGCCAATGTAATAAAACATTCCTGTGTACAAATTTCTTTGTATAATGCAACCACGTCCCAAATTTAAGCTTTTTTCCTGTTCTACATTGGTATTTACCAAACTAACAGCACCATTTTGAATTGAAATTCTAAAGAGCAGGCTAAAGTTGTTGGGAGGCTGATCAGTGCTAACCCATAGTTAAGTTTTAATCTAGGTTTTGTTATTCCTTCATTCAAAAGCATTTATCAGCAGGGATAGTTTTCCCTTTTTTTTCATAGAGCATCTAAGCATCAAATTGTATACAAAACGAATTACTGAATTTTCTTTTAAAGGTTTCAGATCTGAGATCAGATTTCACACTAATTTAAACACTATTTAAACCCAGCTTTGAACAACTCAGCACTGACTTCAGTACAAAGATCATTTAACCCATAAGCTAAAGTATACTGGCAATTTGGAGGGTATGATAGGGGTGGGGGAAGGAGAGAGAGTGGGAGGAAAGTGAGAACTAGTGGGGGTGGGGAAAGA